TCAGATAATATAATAATAACTTATTTGTAATTATAGAAAATACATGTGTTTAATTAGACTGCGAAAAAAAATGACAATAGCTTATCGTACCTTAAGATTAAAAGTGCAATACAAATTTCAAGATGAACTTACTAATAATTGTCATCGTAGTAGGTTGAATTGTAAGCTGTTATACTATTTAGTTAAAAAATTCAATAGCACTATGAGACCGAGCAAAGTTGACGAAAGTCTTGGGAGTATCAGTTAAATTAAAAAGGCCGTTTGGGTAATATAAGAAGGTGCGGATAGGTGTAGAGCCACACGAACCCCAAAATGAATTTTAACCAATGGACGTTCTACGTTTGGTTTTGACGGCAAACGTCGACATTATCAAAGTATATAATTTTACTATATTTCCGGTTATGCACTTTACATTTATATTATAGTGCTATACACATATTACATTCGAATGGAAATATATTTCATAAATATTCTATGATAATTCTACGAAACTAAACCACAGTGACCCTGGAAATGACACAGAAAAATAACGTACAGGAAATAGTATAGCAAAACGGTATATTATCAGTGTGGATTTATCGTCCTATGGTTGTTATAACCGAAAAATACATCTATAAAATACCGTTTGTAATTGGCGAAACAAAATGAGTGTAAAAAATAATTCCAACAATTGTTACGGGTACATGCGACTAACACATATCTTGACTGTGTGTATGGGGTCGCCGTTCACCCGTACAAAGTTAAAATCCACGGACAAGCCTAATGAAGACGTTGACGTGGAAGGTAAAAACACTTAATACTATTAGACAATTATTTGAAGTGAGCGTTAGTAAGAGTTTTAAGTATTTAAGATCTTTTGTACAAAAGAACTTAGTCTTTGATGAGGATGTAAAAAGTAGAATTAAGTGCGGATGATGAAGTGTGTGAAGTTGGTAGGTTCAAGTACTTAGGACGGGTATGAGGAGGATGTGAAAAATAGGATAAATTTTGACAAGAAAACTAAACAGAGTAGAAGTGTAGCGGAGATGACAATGCTTAGGTGGATGAGTGGAGTGGACACATAAGAGGTAGCTTAGGCGTAGCTTCGAAAGCCGACAAAATAAATGAAAATAGACTGATATGGTTTGGGTATGTACTAGGAGAGAGGAATCAAAAGCAGTAAGAATGGTAATGAAAATAAAGGTAGGAGGAAAGAGGGCAAATGAAACACCGAAAAAAGGTGGTTAGATGCGATTGAGAATGACATAAGGAATTTTGTGGTAAATGCAAGGATGATGTGAGTGATTTGGTCGAGTGGAGGTTTAGGACAAATGTGGCCAACCGCACACATATTGACAATTTTTTCTCGCAGGTTACAGATATTCGTTCGACAAACGGATGATACCACTGTGGACAGCACTCGCGATACTGAATATACTTATAACATACCACAACTACAAATTAGCAGTCAGTTACGTAGGAGATTCGTTTAAAAAATGTTTCATCGAATCGTATTGTATTAACGTCATCGAATTGGCTAACCGAAACATAGGACCAACCGTTTACATATTAAGTGCGGTTTTCTATGGTGGTCGGTACAGGGCACGTGCATTGGCCGGTACCGAACGCATACTACGTTTCTTGATGGAAACAAACGGCGGAGTAGAATGCACTAAAAGACATTTGCCACTATTCACTAAATTCTACTCGCCAGCATTATTATGTATGTACGGGTCGTGTCTATGGTTGTACACGGTGTTTGTCCCACCCGTGTTGATGATAATGTACATCATAAACGCTATGGGGATGACAGCTGTTTTTTCATTAGCACAGTTTCAGTACGCTGTGTTCCAAATGGGATATGAGCGTATAAACGATTTAATAGAGAATATATCCCCAAACGATAATCGAAAATTGACCAAGCTCTTGTTGATTCGCCTAACTGAAAGATACGCCGAACTCAGTCAACTGGTAGACAATGTAAATCAATCGTACGTGCCCGACATGCTCCTTCAGTGGCCCTACAATATCACAAGACTCATTATGATCGTCATGCGGATCACTGAGTATCTGGCTGCCTTTGATCAACCAAATTTGACTGTACCAATAGTGTTGATCATAGAACATTCCTGCGAAATATTTTTATTCATACTACAAAACACGTCCTATTGCGTTGTAGGAACAAAGCTTTCCACCGAGGTTAGTCGTGTTTAATTATTATTAACGTAACCATTTTGAAGATTATTGAATATATCGAAATATTTTTATGTTTTAGAAATAACTAGAGCAAAAACTGTGGTTTTATAAATAGATGTTAAGTAATATCATAATAAAATATTTAAAAATGCCCCTCACCACAAAAATGTTCAGTAGTTACTTTTTAATATTTTATTATTTTAATACCTTACTATATGTTTATAGTTTGTTTAATCATGTGCCTCGTTTAGTAGTAATCCATTACTGCATTCATTTTTTTTATCTTTATGAAAAAAATAGGAATTATTAATATTTTAATAAAAATATATATATGTGTTTATTGCACTTTATAGATAAAAATCGTTTTGAAAATCGATAGTTGAGTTATTTTTCCGACACATAACGATGTAACAAAATAATTGTAAATAGCGATGTAAACAATTTTTTTTCGATTAAATAATATATGTTTCACAGGCTAATCGAACTTTGGAAAGCTTACAAAAATTGAAACTTCAACATGTATATAAAATGGACTTGCAAGTTCAAAAAGTGGTAAATTACATGTCGATACCTTAAAGCACCCAAGTGCTATGTACATATGATTAACGTGGACATAGTACATGTGTGCTTCAAGGTATCGATAGTATGTTACTAATATTGCGTTTTATGAAAAATGGTTTTAGGTTAAGATTTTTTGTATTCGAGCAAGTACATACAACGTGAGAGCTTCAGTCGGTGGTTACATTGTAATGGACATGGGATTTATAAGGACAGTAAGTGAACCATTAGTAGCTAAAGCCCGATTTATTATTTATAATTAATTGCAAAACAATGTGTTTTTCTTGTTTAGTTGTTCTCCGCTGTTATCACATACGCCTTGGTTTTATTTCAGTTCAAGCAAGAAAAGGGCATGTCTAAACCTATATATGAACATGACATATATAAGACATAATCTGTACAGAATATATTCAGGATCTACACCTAAATATTGTCGGCAAATAAGTTTAGAAACTTGGCACACGCCCCGTACAGTCCATTAACCAACATAATAAATTACATATACTTTTATTTAAATGTAAATGTTCTACTTATATATTTATTAACCTAAAAAAAAAAAAATTAGAAATAATTGTTATTTTTAAATACACGACTGAATCGTCTTTTTACTGAACTCTTCGTCTGAAATTACCTGACTACAATGTACGTTTATAAATATTTAAATCAAATCGGTTATGATGGCTATAGCAGATCAAAAAAAAACATTAAATAGGACATAGGTAATAAATGGGTTGAGTAAAGTTTTATAAATATGTGAAAAGGGTCATTTCAAGTATCAACAAGATTTTTTAAGTTTCTGGTCACAAAATTTTGTGTACAGTTTGTTTTCTAAGGACGATAAATAAGAGGTTTAAGTTGTCAGGTCAAAGAAAACGGAAGTGTAGTATTAGTGGATTTGGTGAGTAGTATGACTTATTGTGTGCTGCTAATTGTGTTGAGCAGAGATTTGTCAACTGGGCATCGTTTGTTGTGAAGTTAGGTTAGGTGCCGGTACAAATGGTGCATTAGGATAAGTATGTTAGGAAAATAAGTATGAAACTCAAAGTCATAATTTATAAATTGTACTAAAAATGACGATATAATTCAAACGTACAAGTATGACATGGTGGCTTTTACTAACTTCAGCTAAAGAGTCAGATAGCTAATCTAGATTTTTGGGTCCAGCGTGCAAGACAAATTTGTATTAAATGACATGACATCTTGGATGTTTTTAATACACGCCTATAATGAAAAAACAGAGAAAATTTTTATTGTACATTTTATACAGCTGATTAACAGCAGGGCCATATTCCCCATTAGGCAAGAAAGTCACGTGCCTTAGCCTCCAAGCTAAAACAGCCTCATATCGCTTCACACTTGTTTTATTAAATAACAACTACATTCTATATATTTTGTAAAATATATATTATATAAAAAATAGGTTTTCACTTTGTATACACTATACAGTCTATAAGTCAGAATGTTACAAAGCTATCTCTAATCAAATAACTAGTTGTGTGAAAAATATAATTATTATTATTAACATTATTACACGAGGCTAATACCCTGTTAATAGGAGAGTGGAGAGGGGGGATAACTATCGTGTGTTCTACGTTCAGAGAAAAAAATTGGCTTTAAAATTTAAATGTGGTAAGCCCTGTTATGTGTCAGCTGAAAAGGTGAACATTTAACATAATTTTTGCAGCACTACGCATTCCAAAAAAATTAGGTATTATTAAAATGTTAAGTGATTTCCAATAGTGATAATAAAATAGTAAATATAAAAAAGTGTCAGGCCTTGCAAACGATTGTTTATTAAAGAAATTGAGTTTAAATCAATATTTAGTTGGTCCTCAACAGCTATAGACAAAACAGACATGACAATTGTATGTTATCAAAGTAAATGGTTTTTGACCCTATAAAACAATCTGTTTGCACGCCGAATGTCGGAAACAGTCGAGGACTTATTTTATTATACTTTCTAATAATATGTATTCGACGGTATCATACAGAGTATATTATAAACTATAATATGATTGAAATGTTAAGCTCTATTATTATCTAGACATACTTTAACCAATATAAATAAAAAGTAATAGTATGGGAAGTGATTATTGGAAACGATGAATATTACATTAACAAAACGTATCACTATGCGAAATTAAAAACGTTTAATTTTAAAACAATTGTAATAATAATACGGTTAGGTTAGGTTCAGTAACATTACCGTCGTGCTGGGTTTATATACAAATACTTCCTTAAAATTTGACGAATCTTGACTTGAAACCATGAATGCGATAAAGCCACAACAACCAAACGAGAACGAGTGTTATAAATTTATGCGATTAACGCACATTTTGACTCTGTGCTTAGGATTGCCGTTCACACGTAAAAAATTAAACCCCAAGGACGAGCCCAACAAAGACTGTGATGTAGCAGGTAAAACCAACAATGGCACGTATTATACATAAATGTATAATATTGGTGTATTATACATTTTATAAATTTATAAAGTTATAAAATACAATATTACCATTTTTGAAAATACCATTTTGTAGTGATAACTGATGACGATGATATGATTACTTGCGCAGACATTTGGATGTGTTCTACAATAAACTAATAGGTTGACTAATAAACAAAAAAAATGGATTAAAAAAACAATCCCGTTTTAAATGGCACGTACACCCTGTTTTTGTTATTTGATTGTACCTATTACAATAGTAATTGTGCTTCGTTACATTAGCAATTGGCTAGCATACCTAGGTACTCTTGTATTCTAGTACTCCTGGCCACAGTACAAACAATTGTCCACACCCTAAGTTTATATAAAAAATATTGCTCGGTTATAAGTTAAGTATTCTTAAGAAAAAAACATAATAATTTATATGTATAATGCATGTAAATAAATGTACAACTTATTGGTGTAAAACCCGAGTTCATGTGATCTGACCTGACCTTAGCCGACCCGACCACTGTGGATAACATCAATACTCGCCTTGTTTGCATTCTGTTTTCAGGTTACAGATATTCGTTCGACAAACGGATGATACCGGTGTGGACAGCTTACTTGATGCTGAACTCTTTCATAACGTACTACAACTATAACAGAGGAATCGGTTACATAGGGGATTCGTTTAAGAAATGTTTCGCCGAATCTTATTGTTTCGCCGTGATCGAATTGGCCAACCGGAATATAGGGCCGACGGTTTTCTTGATAAGTGCAATGTTTTACGGTGGCAAGTACAAAGCCAGGTCTTTGGCCGGTACGGAACGGACACTGCGGTTCTTGAAGGAAACCAACGGCGGGGTGGAGTACGCCAAAAGACATTTGCCGGCGTTCAACAAGTTCTATTCGCTGGCAATAATATGCCTGTACTCGTCTTGTCTGATGATGTATTCGGTGAGTTCCAATCCGGCGGTGGTCGTTTTGTTCATACTGAACAACATGGTAATGCCGGCCATACTGTCGTTAGCTCAGTTCCAATACGGTGTGTTGCAAATGGGCTACAGGCGCATCAACGATCTGATAGAAAACCGGTCCGCAAACGACAATCCGAAATTCACAAAACTCTTGTTTGTACGGCTGACCGACAGATACACCGAACTCAGTCAACTCGTAGAAAACGTGAACAAATCTTACGTGCCCGAATTGCTCGTCCGGTGGCCGTACACCATCGCGAGGCTTGTGATGATCTTTTTGCGAATCACCGAGTATTCTTCTACATTAAGCGGACCGCATCCAATTGCAGCAAAACTGTTGACCACCGAACATGTAGTCGAAGTAATGTTGTTTGTTTTCCAAAACACATATTACTGCGCCGTAGGAACAAGACTTTCCAACGAGGTAAGTTTATCTATTGCCATTAGACAAGCTGTTATGTACATGTATTAATTTGTACATTTCATCACAACGGTGTCCAATAGAAATTAAAATACAGATAGGTATAACTCTGTTTATATTAAGCTGCCGCGTTGTCTCCAAACATGTTAAACATACGAGAACAGTACTGAGTGTATGTTGAACAAATAAAAATTACCTATTTAATAAAATTAATTCTACAACTTTGTGTTATATTCCATATCTTTCCTATACGTTTTACAGGCTAAAAGAACTTTGGAATGTTTGCAAAAATTTAAATTGCGAAATGAATTCAAAATGGACTTGGAAATTAAAAAAACAGTTAAGTAAAACATAAAATACCTTATTAACATTAGGTGTTACACATTTATGGAATATAATATAATTTTTTAGGTTCGGATATTTGGCATCCGAGCAAGTACACACAACGTTCGAGCTTCAGTGGGAGGTTTCATTATAACTGATATGAATTTTATAAGGACTGTAAGTAACCCATTGAAAACTACTACAAACAAAGTCATTATCAATTACTAAATTACATCTTCTTCTTTTTCTGGCCTTACAACTCAACAAAACAGCTTTGACTGCATTTAATTAATGCGAAATATGTCTTAAAGGCCACAAGTACTTGCCAAGTGTTTTGTTTAAACTTATACTTCTCTTCAATTAGTGTCTAATAATTGCAAGCTGGTCGACTGTTGATACTTCCTCTTGAGGAACCATTCTTCTGCCACTAGTTTTAGAATGGTCATAATAATAAAACTTTTCAGTAAAGATATTTCTCCAACTTTGTTTCAATTATCCGGCAGTCTTTCTTTATTCCATATCTTCTTGCATATCTTATATATTACTATGAGCTCCTCTCATCCATACTTGATAAATTCAGCCGGTACTCCGTCTGACCCAATTATTAAGGTTAGGTTATAGTCATTATCTTAGTCACATCCGAGGAATTACTCTGCTCTTTGATCTTCCCATTCCAAAACTGGTGTCTCCGATATCTCGCCATTCAATAATACTCTTTTCATTTGGGTACTTTCTGTTGTAAATCAAGTAGTACCCTATTATTCTCATGGCTAATTTTGGTTTAATATTGGGTTAAACAGTTAATATTGTTTGACTAAAAATACTAAATTACACAATTAAAATTTTTGTTTTTTTGGTTTAGGTATTCACTTGTGTCATAACATACACCTTACTTTTAATTCAATTTAGACGAGAAAAAGGCAGATCTAAGCCGTTGTATCACACCTAAGTAGAAGAAAACTTTTGCAGTTTTCTTTGCAGTAAAACGCGAAGAAAACACTATAAAATTCAAACTAAAATTGTGCAAATTCTTATTCAAATATTTTTTTTACAATTCAATCAAATAAAAAATGTGTTTTTTATATTTTTATATAGTTCGTAAATGTAGTATATATTATATTTATACAAAATTATGTTTAAAAAATCACTTGCAAACTATTAAAATAATATGTTTAAAAATTAGCAAGAAGTATAATTTTTTAATCGAAAAAAAATTGTTTTAAATACATTTTACTTGAATAATACTTCAAATTACTACAACGAAACATTACTTAACACATTAAGATGTACATAATATTAAAAATACAAAGAGAAACAAAATGTAGAAAAAAGAAAACGTACAAAGGAATTGCCTCATTGCTTATTCAGCTATCCTTTGAGTCACACATTCAATTTTCTTTTAGTTTTTTCAAATTATTTTGACGGGAGTTTCAATAAGACGCCACAATAACAGAATAAATACTAAAAAGGCGGTTTCAATATAATACCACTATGACCAAAGGGTAAGTAAGAAAAATATTTACATTTTTTTAGGGTGTTTTACTTGATTTAAAAAAGGGGAAGGAGTGAACTTTTTAAATGTTTGTCCAATGTGCAGGTACGATTTCTGGTCTATAGAGTTAGACGAATATAAAAAGATATCATTAGCCTAAGATAGAATATAGGATAGGGTAATTTTATTACAAGCTGCAATTTACAAAATTTTTCATAATGGTGTAAAATATCTATACATAAATGGCGTCAATATAATTTTTGATAAGATACTTACAACTAAAATATGACATACTTTTTGATTAAAAATCAAAAACCTCATTCTCTTAGACGATCAAAACACAGGATCATATATATATATATATATATACACTTATTACAGATTTAAATACATATTTAAATTTTAAGGGTATTTTCATTCCATACCGTACTGTACCAGATTTTGCATGTACCTACTATTTAATAATAATAAATAATAATAATATATAAATTGTACATTGCGATTCTAACTAATTATCTCGACATTATACCGGGTTAATTTGTCGTTCCTACACATCACTTACGTATGAACTAAAAGAATTAAAGTTGTTTCTTAAGAAAAAAACTACGATCAAAATTTAAGTACAAAAAATACAAATAGTAGTTACTAGTTAGAGCCAAAACTGCAGATTTAAAAAAAAATCATCGGTCAATTAATGGTCAATGGTAAACCCGTCGGCCAACCAGTGTAGCCAACATACTCATACTTTTGCGGGGCCCAAAGTTGATAACTGTTATCAATGATTGTAATGCACGCTTCCTAAAGCCGCCAGCCGCTTTTCATATTTTAATATTTTGATATTATCACAATACTTAATACTGTTTTCCGTTACTTGTATTTTACATTGTAAGTACTCATGCGAGCTTTTTAACTTTTAACGATGAGCGCTACGTTTTTATAAGCACTTAACCTAGCAGTGAAGGTAAACGGTTAAGTTAAGGTATTTATTATACATATATATATAAATATATACCTAATCGCTACAAATGTAATTTCTTCAAAAAATTATTGTACGAATTTTGCCTTCTCACAACATATATAGTTTACCAAGACGTAGGTAGGTTAAGTTTATTATAAACGTATTCTTATTCGGATAGTAACACAAGTGTAGTCTAACTAAAAAGTACTGTAATGTATTGCAATTTTATGACTGTGCTGTTTAGGGCCTGCTTAAAAATGAAAAAATAATTAAAAACTGTTCAATATTTCGTAAACAATAATTAATGAAATAAAAAGAATTACAATTCTGTTTTAGGATTGAAACAATTTACAGTTGTCACGATGGAGGAGTCATTTGATGATTTCGACACAGGTATGTGTTTATATTCTAATAGTAATCTCTGTTTAAAGAAGATTTTTACATTAAAAAAAAAAAAAAATACGTAAGATGATAATTATCTACTTGTTAGTAATTTATTGTGTAAAAAAAACCTGTTTAAAATTAGTGTTTGTTGACCGCCAGTAGATAAATTAATTTTATTATTTTTAGTTAAAAATGAATCTATAATGGACTATACTGATGATGTAACTAGATTGAAAATGAGAAAATCACAATTCAATTTGTCGGTTTCAATTACGCCTGGAGAACTTACTGCCATATTCGATAATTCTGTTGCGCAGCCCAAAAGCAGCTGTAAGCTATATTTGTGATAATTTTAACGACTTAATTTACTGACTTTAAAATAATTTGTTTTGTAGCCGAAAACGGTTTGTACAAGCAGTTTTTAAATGTTCTTCAAGCCTTTCGCGTGAGTTCACCTCTTCAACTACTAGAAATCCTTCAGTATTTTATCGACAACTGTATAGAAACCATATCCGTGTTGAAAGATCAAAATCAAGTACGAATGATTTTTCTTAAATTTGGCATTTTTTTTAAAAATAATTTACCTAACCTATATTATTAATAATATTTTCTTTGGTATCGTAGAATGTAGATTGGTTAGAACAAGAATTAAACACGTGGCGTTTATTATTAACACTGTTCCAAGTACAGCATTTAGAGCCGCCAGAGGGAGTGGATAAAGTAATAAGTGACCGTGATTTATCAGATGCTTTGTTCAAAGAAGATCAAAAGTTGAAAGGGGTAACTACTGATTATATGTATTTATTAACATTTTTGAAACTTGAATTTGCTTACTGATTTTTTATACCTATTGACCATAATGTGGATTAGAAAAAAATGTATAAATAAATATTTAACTTGCTATTAAATTATGTTAACATATTAGTTTCTATTTTGTCAGATTATTGTGTGTTATTACAAACAACTGGTTGTGAGTAAAATATTGTTGCCTGATTATAATTTTTTTTCACTATTTTTAACAGATACAAAGAATTGTCGATTGGTTAGAACACTGTGCCGCAGAAAGCATGGAAAACGAGTTTATGAGGGATGCGAAAAATTTTTCTGACGAAGAAGTTGCGTGGCCAAATACCTTGGGCCAACTTTTGGTATGTATTAATGTCAAATGACTAATGTATTAAATAATAACTATCATTATTTACTCTTATTTATATTTTATAACCGTTGTTAGTTAGTTCAGTTCAACGCTCAAATTTTCTTAGCATGGGCTGTTATATTTTAATGTTGTTATGACAACAAATCAATTTTTCCAATATGAATTTTATCTTAAATGTATGAAATCAATTAACATAGTAATTATTTACTTCAACTATAATTAAAATTTTTATTAACCCTGTTTTGTTGTGCCTAATATTTTGTTTCGTGTAGAAAAAACAATTAATATATCAAAGTTCCGGCGCATTGGTCACGCAGATAGATCCAGATGCGCCGAGCAGACAAAACCGATCAATTCACGATCTTGATCAGGTAATTCTAGTTTTGTATTTTTTTAATAATTATGTGGTCATTGTAAAAACCAATTATTGTTGAATATTTTGTTTTTTAGGTAGATGATGATCGACTATTAGCTCAAGTGTTTGCCGAAATTCGTTGCGGCAGGCTAGAAAAAGCGGAATTGTTGTGCTGCCGATACGGCCAGTACTGGAGATCCGCAATTATGGAAGGATGGCGGTTGTATCACGACCCATTTTACAAGCCTAGAGAAGAACAAGGCTCGTTAGACGTCCAAGTTCTTGGAAACCCAAATAGGTATAATCTAGTACTCCCAAACAAATTTGTTGTGATTGTACTCAACGTGTACACTTTTGGTTTCTAGAGACATTTGGAAATCGTGTGCGTGGAAAATTTCATCAGATCCCAAAAATTCAGCGTATTGGAGAGCTACGATCGGCATATTGTGTGGTAATATTGATGCGGTGTTGCCTGTTTGCGATCGATGGGAAGACATACTTTGGGCACATCTTCATACCATAGTTAATGTAACCGTGGAAAATCATATACAGACTAATAGGACTAATAGTTTCATAAGTCTTCCTGAAAAATATTGGGAGTACAAGTAGGTCGATAAAAATGTTAAATTGCAGGGCTGCTGCAACTCTGTCACATTTCTTACTCGGACAATATATTATTCGCTAATACTTAATCAGACAGTAAAAGAAATACAAAATCACTTTTATTTTTTAAGAAAAAAACCTAACCGCGAATTACATTTTTTTAAATAAATAAAAGTAACATTTTTATATTTTCAAACTGAAATTTACATTTTACTACTGTAAAACATCCTGTCATTAATTTGATTGGACATTAGTTTTATGTGAATTCTGGCTTAGAAACGTGTTCATTTTTATTATTAATTTTTCTATATCTTTTGCATAAAAAAAAACCATCACTCCTTACATCTTATTTTCAAGTGGCAGCCCTGTAAATGTTATTATACATCGAACAGCGTAGTCGTACATGCTTACCACTGGGCGTATCGAGTTTCATTTTTGTACACTATTTTAGAATGACCATGGATGATATAGTTGCTGAACTAAAGTCCAACGCTAAACTGGCTGTGCGTCAAGAAGCACATAAGCCTAAACGGCAAATACAACAGTACTTCATATCGAATCAATTCAGCGAACTGGTTGTGGCAATGGCCAACTGGGCTGAAAATAATTTCGAATCCGATCCTCAGTTCCTGAGACTTCTCGCCCATTTGGTTTTGGTCATACGATGGGCCGGTATACAGCACAACGAACAGCCGGCCAATTTGATTCTACAGAAATACATAGAGGTATGTATACTTAATTGATTTGTTTCACTTTACACAAATCATTTAATTTTTATCTGTTTAGATTTTGATCCCAATGAACGATCCAACTTTGGTTGCGTACTACACGTCGCAGCTTCAACAACCGTCTCAAATTGTTATATATTCTAGGTTTTTAGAAAAAATGAGTTCTCCCGAACAACGAAGCAAAGGGCTGTTGGCCGGTGAAAATTTTTTACTTCCAGTCGAAGAGGTCACTAAACGTATTGTGGAGACTGTGAGGTGCGTAGTGTTTTTACCGACTTAGGACTTGGCTTAGGTTGAGTTTATCGATTGTAACATATTTTAGAAACCGATTGACCAAAATCACTACTGGAGTAGACGTGTTCACCGAAGTAACCAACGACGACTACGAATTGATTTCAGCACTAGACTGGATAATATATTATCCTCAACAAGTCGAAGAAGCGTTTGTTCAAATAAACGCAGTTGTGCGCAATTTCGTCGCGCAAGGAAAGATTCAGGCAGCTCGTATGGCTTTTAATAAAGTATGTGTTCCAAACTGCTGTTATAACTGATGAAACTTGAACTGTTTAAAATTAATTTTAAAAACAATACAGATCCAGCAAAAAGAAATTAAAGGACTGTTAAATTCTGCAGAAATGGACGTCAACAAGCTTTTAGACTTGAATGTATCGTTGCCGGGAAAAGTCAAATCGTTATTTTCTGAATACTTAGCATACAAAAGTTATTTGGTAACAATAAATTAATTTTTATTTTAACGAAATTCAGTAATACCGCATTATCGACTTATTCATAAACAAAGCTCGTTGTTGTTTGCTTAGGACGCCGAAGAAGGTTTTGCTGACTGGTTCCACGAATACCATCAGACTAAACCTACTGAGCCCGCAAAACTTCCTGACAACGTCGAGTACTCTAAGAAATTAGTCTATGATCACAATATGGATGTTTATCAATCGGCATTGATCAATTGGAGACAAAGCGTAGCCAGTTCGTCACAAGTATGAATATATTATATTTATCACATGTATAGTTATACTCGTATTTTGTAATAAAAACAATTTTTTGTTATGCTTCTTAGATTGTTGTCGAGCAATTATTTAATTTGTTGTTTTTCCCTGGCGGGTGGCTAATCGACCACGACAATGACGATAAAAATCGCCACGAACACTTTGAACTGTTACGAACCATTTGTATTCCAAAGGTAAGGGTCGACGACGGTAACAACAAGACACATCTTGTTAAAACTTGCATTGATTGATATTTAAATTGCCGTTTCAGATATTTCTGCTTTTGCACACCGTGTTACACAGTGCCGAGAAATATATCGATTGTGTAAAATTAGCCAGTCACATAACTGACGAGACACATTCATTTTACAAAGTGAGTTAGCTCTATAAAAAAAAAAAAGAACTATTATTACTTATAATTTTTTTTTTCCCCAGTTATTCACTCAAGCAGATCTTAAAAAATTGTTTGCCAAAATCTCCGAATCGTCTATTTGTTTAATGGAGACTTCGGGCCAACGCCTAGATCCTTGGGGTACCTTGATAGAATAAAATTTTAAGTACAATTTATACTAAGTTTAGATATTAAGTTTCATACGAGTAAAATAAAATAAATGTCTAATAAAAAAAAAAACATTTTTTAGCGTATTTTTTTTAATTTTAATTTTTTTTATCAATAATTAACAATTATATATTTACACGTCCATTTTTAAAATTCACCATAGCCTTTGATATCATTTAAATTGCTACCAAAGAATAACAGTCTGCCGTGCTTGGCCACAAACATTGTTTTATCGTTGACAAACTTGGAGACTCCTTGATGTTTTGCTTTGTCGGAGAGCATTTTGTTTTTTTGCACTTCGAATTCTTGGATGAAATTTTCGTCATCCGGATTTAAATTTGTAGATTTGCTATCGGACACTGAATCGTCGATGGAGGGCTTTGTTGCTTCGGGCGTAGCGACATGAGTGGGCGCCACTGTCGTCTTGGGATCTTTTTTCACGCTTCCGATAAATTCTTTTATTTGTTCTTCAAATTGAGCAGGTGTTTCCCCCTTACAGTATTTTTTACCCGCAGAACTATTTTCTACAATTAAATCGACTAAAGTCTGATACTTATGCGTCAGGTCTGTGTTTTCTAAAACGGGCTCCACATTTTTTTCTGAAACAATGTTATTGCAACAACTATCTTCAGATTTTATTTCTGTATTTTTCACTTTATCGTCATTTTTGTCAGATAAGTTTGTTTCGTTCTCCGAATGAACTTCGTCTTTGACTTTTGACTTGCTTTTCTTTTTTTTATTAATAACTTGAGCGTTTTCTTCAAGTTTTTTTTCGGACGGATTGAGTTCACAATCCGTAATACATTTACTTTTCTTTTTACTCAACTGATCGCTTTCTTCGAGACTCGCGTTTGTTTCGTTTTTTATTACAATTTGATTTTGGTGTTCTTGATTGACAATACCGTTAATTTTTTTGCTGCTCTTCTTTTTCTTTTTGCTATCTGATTTCAAATTTGACGTGTCTAATGTTATCATTTCGTCAACATCACTATCAAGTGATTTTTCTAATTCACTTTTATTACTTGAAGACAAGTCATGGTTGTCACTTGTTTTATCGGTTTGAATTTTGCTGTCAATAAAATCGTCATTAGATGGTATCAGCTTCTTATTTTTTTTGCTGTTCTTTTTTTTTTTTCTTCTCTCCGCCTTGGAATTTGATTCTTCCAAGACTAATTCATTCGTATTTTGATCGAGCGTTTGTTCTAACTTCCTTTTTTTACCAAAAGGAGAATCTTGCTCGTTTGTATCTAATATTTCTACTTCATTTTCCCCAGTCGATTTGGATTTCAGTTTTTTTCTCTTGGAAATAACATTTTGGCTTTCGTCTTCATCATTTTCTTCTTCGGTAACCATGTCTGGACTTGTCGTTTCATCAACAACATAAGTCTCATTTTCACTCGGATTCAAGTTTTTGCTCTTCCGTTTTGTTTTGAAGTAATCATTCATATTTAAAGACGTCGACGGTTCTGTGTCTTTTATGCCTTTACCCAAAATGCAAGCCAACTCCTCGCTTTTGTATTTTGTTAAATCTTTACCTCTTGTAAATTTGTGATAGCTAAAACGAAAAATTATAACCCAAATAAATTTAACTTGTATCGCAAACAAATATTTCAAGTGCACTCACTGAACTCTTGATCTGGAATTTAAAGAATTTTCCATTAGAGATTTTTTTGAGGCCACATCGTGTTTGCAATCGGACGTTACGTGTTCATCGTCAATATTTTGTGTTAACTGAGCTAACAGACGTGCATAGTCGTCGCCCGCTTTAAACCAATCGTCAGCGTTGTGCGCTACAAAACCAAGCCCTAAAATGAAAAAAATATGTATATATATTAGATTTGAGTACAACAAAAATTGATGAAAAATATAACCTAGTAGTTTTTGTAATGGGCATTGAAAAGATTGTTATCAATTTACCTGTTGGAGTCACTTTATGTAGGACTTTAATATTTTCTGAGATCCCTTGATTGTTTTTGCCGAGACCCAAACCTTTAGACCAGCCCATTTTTTCCAACATTTTTTGACCAAACTTGGAGTCATCTGTAAATTAAAATAATACTATTTTTCAAAAATTTTGGTTTTAACTTGAAACCTACGAAACTAGCTATATGCCATAAGTCAATAGGTAAGTTGGATAAAATGTATTATTATATAATATGTTTTATTGATACAGTATTAAGTATACAAATATGTTTTTTGCAGACCTAACAGAACATTAACTTTTGAACAATATCCAAATTTTTAGTTTTTATTTGTTTAAACAAGTTGGATAGCTGTATTTTTTTTTCTGGCCGTCTTTGTTCAGCATCAGGGTTGAAGTAAATGGTGAGATGCTTCAGAATAGCATAACAAAATTAAGTTAAAAAAAAAAATACATTATTTTTTGTTATATTAAAAAAATTCTCTAAAAATGCATACTTTTTATACAGAAAGCATTGTATACCCTTCGGTTTTTTATTATCTATTAATAAAAAATAGTTTTTACTTTTCTATTACAATTTAAATTATGATGTTTCTAAACTTTGTTCTACCATTGTTTATTTCTTACTCTTCTTACTGCTCTATTGCTCACTTTCTTATATTTCGGCATTATCCTTGTGTCTCCATCCTATTCTATTGTCAGCTCAAACTGTATCAGACCTGTTGTTACTGTTGGTAACAAATAACTCTTCTCTCTAGTTCATACATTTTCATTTAAGAAGTAATAATGATGTGTTACTTTAATGACTATGCTGATATGAACCCAACGACTTAATTACATATGATTTATTAAATGTATTTCTCCCAATGTGTAATCCTCTATTGGGCCATCTCTTCTAGCTACATACTACAGTTAGTTATTTTAGTTTAAAGTCTTTATTACCGTTGGTCCAATGATTCGGAGCCGACAAACTAATGCTGTGAATAGGATTTTTCCGTCTTTTCCTCGACTCCGCCAACATTTCGCAAGCGATAGGTGGGTACTAGACGGGAGAAACGATTGAACAAGTCACCAAACTCAAAAAATGTTTGTAAAAAAATTAAAACGTTTGTAATTAATCGTGTACACCACACTACATGTGCGGTAATGATAATATTTTGGGTGTATCGTTCTTATCAGTCACATTATCACACAACCAGCGTTTACTGATAACGCAATATGATATCATTATCGTAGCAAGCGTTCTATTCTCTTTGCATAAAATATCACACTGGCTGCACTGTATAGCAGTCTATAATCTCCTAGAGCGGTGTGTTCGGTGATGTTGTCACTGTACACAATCCCTCCACTAAAATTACTTCCCCGGCCTGTTGACCCGCGTCCGCTTTCTTTCACGTTGACTTGTTTGGATCGTCCGTTTTCCGAGTTCGGAAAAGTTCTTGTTTAAGTAATTAACACCACAACGGATAATCTTATACTGTAAGTATTGACCGAACAAGTAATTTGACTAGTGTTCTACTTATCCATAACCAAATTTTACTACCTTCGAGTAGGAAAACGCAGGAAAGTTCACATGGCTAACCTCAAATTTCTACTGAATTTTGTCCGAGTTGAACGATTTGAGTTCCGAGTTAAACCTTTTTCTAGACTTAAATGTTCATTTAACATCGTCCTGACCGAACCTAATTTGTTGGCATTTAACTTACAATAAGTCGTACGATAAGTAACATAAAATTTAAACCTGCTGAAAGTCTTTCAATTCGAATTTTTATCTCTGTTCAACATTGATTGTCTACTATAATTAAAATTTAAACGACGATTTCCTTTTTAACTACCTAATTTAAAATTGTCTTATTAGAGTAAGGATTATTTGTGCAAATTATTTTCTAAATATTGGTGTAGTCCATGCTCTATTTTGATAGCAACTTGGGAAAATGTCTAGTGTCATATGTTTTCATTAGATTTACTTAAATGTAACAAAATTACTCTTGCTTACCAATATTACACTTAATTAATTGCACGTTAAACAAATTATCTTAGATTATAAAATGTGAATATTAGTATAGCTGTTCAGGTTATTTGCTTCATCGGCGTTAGCCATGAGGCGTTTTCCATATTGTTCAGCTAATTTTTGTTCTGGATCTCCAATTGATATTTGTTATTTTTCAGACAACAATGGCCGATGAAGACTGGGGAGACGTACAAGTAGTAGGCAATGTTGACTCGGCTCCTTTACAGGTGGCTGCCGATTTGCCTGAAGTGAAATTGTTCGGTAGATGGAGCTGCGACGATGTAGAAGTGTCTGACATGTCCTTGCAAGTAAGTCACGTTTGTAACAAATTGTTACGATAATAGTTTATTCATACTATGTATTTGTCATATGCAGGATTATATCGCCGTTAAAGAGAAGTATGCCAAATACGTACCTCACTCGGCTGGTCGGTACGCGGCTAAACGTTTTCGCAAGGCTCAGTGTCCTATCGTTGAGCGTTTAACTAATTCTTTGATGATGCACGGACGCAACAACGGAAAAAAATTAATGGCTGTTCGAATTGTTAAGCATTCTTTCGAGATTATCTATTTGTTAACTGGTGAAAACCCATTGCAAGTGCTCGTTAAAGCCATTATTAACAGTGGACCCAGAGAAGACTCCACCCGTATTGGTAGGGCCGGTACTGTCAGACGTCAAGCCGTCGATGTTTCTCCGCTCAGGCGAGTCAACCAAGCTATTTGGTTGCTTTGCACAGGATCTCGCGAAGCCGCCTTCAGAAATATCAAGACCATCGCTGAATGTTTAGCTGATGAGCTTATTAATGCTGCTAAGGTTAGATTTTATTATTTTTAACTGTATAAAAATTATTTATTAATTTTTTTTCGTATTATAATTAGGGATCGTCAAACTCTTACGCCATCAAGAAAAAGGACGAATTGGAACGTGTTGCAAAATCTAACCGTTAATTTCCATCTTATTATTACATTTATTTTAAATATACTATTGTATATTTAAAACCAAAAAAAAAAAATAGTTACTTTTTTTTTACAAAAGAACCTAAGTTTTTTGTTCATTCCTATGGCCTGTGTGAGTGTGTAATATGCAATAGTTGTTTTCTATTTCGTTTAGACTTATGTACTGTTGAAATTAAAATTTTAGTAGGTAGTTTAAAAGCAGATAAAAATTAAGGTAATTAAAAATGTCCAGTTTGGAAACGTTACTTAAAACGTAATCTTATCTAAATTATTATTTGGTGCCAATTAAGTAATAAATCTTGAGTCAATTTTTTTCATAACTTATTAAATTACAGTTTAAAACAAAATGATTGTATTCCATAAAAACATTTTTTTAAACTGTTTAAAACGTAAAATAGAGTCGTTTTATTTATTAAATAAATATTTAAAACAAAAAGTACCAGCCAAACAACACTTTTTATTTTTCGGTAAGTTTTAAGTAATTCAGAAAAGTATTGTCCATGTATTAGAAAACTGGTTTAGATAAATTTTTCAATTTAAATATTTATTTAACTTTAAGAAGTTGATATAAAATATAAGAAAGAATATAAAGCGAACTGACTGATGTACAAGTGGCTTAAAGGTACTAAAATAGGACTGTAGTTCTATAAAATGTAAAAAAATAATGATTGTTCCATGCTAGGTTTTTAAACAATTTAATTATTCACATAAAAATGGCTATGATATCATTTGTTGTATCCCCGTTCTTTGAGACAAATTTAGTCAACTAATAAAACTTATACTGTAGCTAATGAAAGTTCAGAGGATTCGTATTAAAAAAGTATATATAAATGTGACTTGGAGCAGTATTTAATTTTGTGGTGCAAACGGAAGCTACTGGAAATTATGTCGACAGCTACTAAAATGTTATTTGGTGTAAGCAAATGTATTTTGGAAGAATAGAACAATGTATAGTAAGTCGTCTTCTGTTCACTTAAATGTTAGAGTCACGGAAAACAATATTCTCCGATATTTCCGTTTATTAATATAACAAAATAAAACTGATACATTTTTGTTTTCTTTCGCAGACTAATATTTAGTTTTAATCTGGAGAAAAAAAGAAAAAATGTAAATACACAATATTAGATTTATTTTTGTCAAAAATACATTTTTTCTTTCAAAACGGTATCTTAACAAGATTTTATAGACTTTCAAATTTTGATATATAATTTTCAAACAGATTATAATTAATACATTACAATATTTATATAATTTAATACAATACGTAGTGTATGTACAAATAATTATGTTTTTCGTTTCAAGAATAAAACATAATTAAATAATTGTAATTATATTTCTATTCTAAATTTTAAAAAAAAGGACAAATTCTTAAGTAGTAGCAATTGGTAACGTCGTAATAAAAAGGGTAATTAACAAATCTATTAAAAATTTAAACTCAACCAGCAACGTCTTCAACTGTAGTTTTCTGAGATCGACAATTATTGTCTGTTGAATCATTCGGTTTTGTCGTTTGAGTTTGCTTTTCGTGAAATTCCTGAAATTGGTCATTTTAAATATTTTAACAACTTAAATTTTCAGGTGCTTACCTGAAAACACGGTACTAAACACAGGTTAATGTTGCATTCGGGACAATGGTATTTGGTTTTCCGTCTCAAAAACCTTCCTCTTGTATCGATTGTATTCCAACAGAAACTGCAGCCGAGCGCAGGTCCGGAACGCAACAACGGACAGTGATCGGAACGAGTTGATCCGTTGAACGTATCGTCTGTGTTGGTCTAACGTGAATATTAAACCGTACAATTTCTATACATTTAACTAATTTAATAATATTTTTAAAGTAACATTTACTTGAGCCGAAGACGTAGATAGATCTTCAGTCAGGTATCCCCTGGTCATAGGAATGGATTCGGTAGGTTGCGAATGTTGTTTGACTATTGTTGGCTTAGGAACAGATAACGTATTGGTCGAGGATGGGTTAGGTTCGGAACTTTGCCTTTCCAGAACTCGGATTACAGGTTCAGTTTCATCGTTTGGTTCGTTTTTAATTAGCTGACTCATTTCCACTTTGATCTCGTAATCGTTAACCTTTAAATTGGGCTGCCGTACGAGCGTTCTAATTCGTTTACTAGCTATAAAAAAATACATATACGAGAAACATTATTATTATAAACAAAGACTATCTAAAACACTAAAACACATTTGACAAACAACACAAGAGCGTTATAAAATATATATTAATGTCCGTTTATTTAAAAATATCTTATTAAATACATCAAAATTACAGTAATTTTAATATTCATAATAAATAAATAAACTATCCTATAGATTTTAAAGACTACAGTAATAATGCATAGTAAATTATAGTTAATTAAGTGTGGTTTTCAGCAGGAAATATAGAAGGTGCCGGTGAAGAATAATAGCAAGGGTTGATGACGGTCAGCGGTTGCGTGTACATTTGTGAAATATAGGCAGGGTGGTCCACGGTTGTCGTTTGGGTTGAAGTGGAAGGTTCGTACAATGGCGCTTGGTATACATGTTCAGATGATTGTCCGTTGATTGACACCGGTGACGGCGCAGTTGTTTGAATAGAAGACGACGACGATTGACCTTTTCGATGAACGGGATAGCCTTTTTTTTTATACTCCAGCCATAAGGTACGATTATTGATACCGTATTCTTGGGCTGCACGACAAAATCCCATACGACCTGCGCGTACGGCTTCTAGAGCTTCTTTAAACCGATCGCTGTCACGAATGCCCGGTTCGCGTTTTTTGCGAATTTTATTTTCTTGTTTATAAGGCGTTTTGGCTTTGGGTATGGCATAGATGCTGTGAGGCGGGCAATCGGGGAGCTGCTCCAAAAACGACCAACCTGTTAGCAAATGTTCAATTTGTAATCAAATTTTCTAACAACTTATAAAAATAGAAAAATTAAGAAACACAGAAATAAAATGAAGAGATAAATAAAAAGTAAATATAAGGAAATTTAAAATAATTGAATTAAGCGGCTTTCATACTGAGCATTTACAGGTTGAACGTTTTTGAAACTATTCACTCGCATCTACCGTTTCACACTATTCGTGTGGACGATAATAGTCGACAAATAGGCAATAATCCTATTAATCCATACAAATGAACATGCTTTTTTTTTTGTTTTATTTTGATATTATGCACACTCAGTATTAAAAAACGTATGATTTTTAAACAATAATGCTAACTAAATACAAAGTGAATTCAAGACTTGAACAAGAATGCTAAAAGTAATATATTCAATAGCTTAACAACTACCAATTCTTTACGAACATACCTTCAGGCGGTTTTTGATTGATGTTTTCTGATGACGAGTGCTTGGGAACACCACCAGCACTACTGTGAATTAATTTTGATGTTTCCTGTCCGTGTAGTACAGGCTGAGAACTCTATAAAACAGATAAAAAAATTTTAGACAAATAAAAAAAATGAAGAAAAAAACATGCAATGTTGCATACAATTGCTAAGTTATTTTGTTCAGTCTTAACCGAGTTGTCTTCCATAGAACTGTTGTTATCAGATTTATCACTTGACGTTCTCATGTGCATCTTTTTACGTTTAGCTGACGGCGATAACAAACTGTATTCGGTCTCCATGGGTTGAGGTGTAGCGAGCAGATTAGATTTTTCCGCAAGCCCTTTGATTTGTAAACTTTCCGCCGCCTACAAATTCCGCAAAATAATTCAATATACAAAATAATTTACTAATCAATAAAATAAAAAATAATTAAAAAACAACAAAACGTACTTTTAAAATTACTGGTAATTGATCTTGTGAAATATTTACTTCTCCGTAATACATAAACTCAATAAGAATCTTCAAATGGTTGTATGACATATCTTTAATTATGATTATCGGATGTTGGCACGGCGTTTCATTAAATAACATCTATTTCAAATTAAAAAAAATACATAAAATTAAACAGTTGTTTTCAAAACAAAATCTATGTATTGTAGTGGCGATTTTTCTATTTATGACGTCCTAGATTAAATATAAGATATGAAATTGAATTATAACTATTTTTCCCATCTAAAAATTCGCTCTAAAAACGCCGAATAAAATTTAAAACTACAGTCATTAAAAAAATATAATTCAGGAAAGAACAAAAAATTGTAGGTATTCGTTGATTTAAAAAAAAAATACTACCTAAATATCTTAAATTTAATTTATAATATCTCAACTTTTTCGGGTTTTACACATTCATAGTTGTTTTTTTGCTAACTACATCGTCTTAACTAAGCCCAAGCGATTTAATAGGCTTTGTTGCGTCCTATAGATTCCACGAGCTTGCAGAAACGAATAGGGTTACTTTACAGCCGTTACACTGTGGAGGGACATACTTGAAAGTAGCTACTGCACGCCGATAGCACGACTTTGTGAACTTGAATTTTGCGTCCCTCCGCCGCTATGGTAGCGTCCACAAACATTTCGCTGTTCAACAGACCGGTCATGACGTTGACCAGGTTCGGTTGGTGGTTGTTCCATCGCAAACAAAACCTCTGGTCAGCCATTTGCGCCTTAGACAAAAACCGTACCATATTACTTGGTATGCACATAATAACAACATTTCAATGACTCTGTCCGAACCGTAGGCCAAGATTAATAATATATCATAATATTACATGTTTATATTGTTATATTAATTATATAATTATTATATTAACCTGTAGTATTAATCGTGTAATAAAACAAACACAGTTCAGCAGGCCGGACGAACCCTTAGTAAGTTCCGAGTTTGCCCTGAATTGTTATTTGTCTACGCTAATGAATAACTTTTTATATTATTTATAAATAAACAATTATTATTATAAATTATTCTGATAATCACGGGCCGTGACGTCAATCGATATGAATATTTTCACGTTGGCCGCACTGCGGTCGGCCGCTACCGCGTCGGCGGCCGCACTGTACGAAAAATGCCTGGCGAGACGCCGCCGCGAACCGCAAACGAGACCGCGACCCGCGTTGCAGAGCACAGTACCTCAACCTGTAGCCAATGGCCACGGTTTATTGTAGCAAGTAGTCGTTGTTTATAATGTTTGTGTTGAATATCGTGAACTGTGATGAAACAGTGATTTTTGTAGTAACACTCGTTTTGGATTAGACGTGACCTATGGGTAGTCTTGGTTTGGTTTGATAATTGATTGTTATACGACAATTAACAATCCCGAACGATAGCTTGGCTATTACGCGACATTTAACATTTTTATTTATTCACACTTGGACATATTTTTTGATTGTATTGTTACGTAAATACTTATTTATATATATATATATATATATGAATAAGCATACCTAAATTTTATTTTTTCTTTCTTTCATATTTTCCAAGTTTAACACACTTAAAGCGGTTAAATTTCGGTGGTAAGTAAACAGCTAATAAATTATCTACACCTATACTACCATTGTGTATAGAATATTATGTGCTTTATAACTATGTGGCTTCCACTGAAAACCTACTGTTTTACATACTGTAATCAACAGCAATAATGGTATGACGCCATCTTATTGCAAGGCTGTTTGATAAATTTTCGTTTTTCATATCAAACCATCTGCAGTAGTTGGCTTATACTATGTTTATTTTTTAATGACTTACATTAATATCTACAAGGTTAAATATTATCTATTTCTGTAATTACCATTTCGATTTTTACCTATTTCAGTTTGCGACGGTTTTTACAATTCCTTTTTGACACGACGCGATAGACAACAAGGCATACGCACGGCATTCTCCGTCCCTGCACGGTCAACAGCTCTGGTTTACTCCTACCACCGCACGGCGACAATTTGTGAGAAAGTGAACATTTTGTGTTTATTATTCGGTTACCTCGAACTAGGCAATTAGCGATTGCCGTTTGCTACTACTAAAGAAACAACAATCATTAAGACACAGCTTAAATAGTTATAATAAGAGAGAGAAAAAAGAAAAAAATAAGGTAATTAACAACTAAATCTTCCTTTCTACGATAAAGTGTACGATATAAGTCACAACAACGTTATTGACGAGCTAAACTAGTTTTTTTTTCCGAATATCCCACCTTAATTCTTAAGTATTTGGTAATTTCAATGCCTATAGCATTAAATGGCCATCGTTTGACATTCAAATTGTATGTATATGACTATATGTGGTTAACAAACTCCTATCTACTTATAAAACGTAGAAATCTTATAAAAAAAAGTCTATGAATCTCGAATTTCATTGCACTACGTGAACAATATTGCGGATAAAAAAAAAACTTAAAAATAATTACAAAATCCTAGTAGTAACTACTGTCAAATAATAAAGGAATAGGTACAGCAAAATTATTGCGAAACGCACTGTAAAGTAGAAAAAATATCATCTAACCAAATAAGCACCTGAAATTATCAACTAGTTTTTTCTACCGTACTGAAAATGCTAATAAGTAACGGCATTTACTTGTTATAAGAACATTTTTTAGTATTGCTCTAACTTAAATATTAGTTTTAAAATAACTTCATCTTTACTAGTTCATTCCAATAATTATGCAGTTCAGCGCACCTGTCGCTTATGATAAACAATATTGTGGTTTATTTTATTTTATGAGTCTTTAATAGTTGCACAGGCAAGGACGGACTGAGGTCAAACATCAGCTTGGTGTTTATACAATTCGGCCCACTCTTAATACGAAAGTTAGCCTTGTTCGGTTAGCTTGTAAAGAATTAATAGGTATAACAAGCTGAAATAGCTCCGAATGTGGTGTCTGGCCCAGTCCCCCGCTGCATATATAAACAGTATACTTCTCTAATAATCTATATATAATCAATATAGTATTTTAAATTTGTATTAATAAATATCAACACTATATAAACATTCCAATATCATTGAAGGCTGCGGATGACATCTATAAGACAAATACTGTGAAAAAAAAGCAAAAACTATCTAAAGTTATAGAATTAAAACTGGCCGCATTTTTCCTGTTGCCGCTAATTATTATGTTAAATTTATGCTATGAAATCGAAAGGTCGAATTCTAATTTTGACTTAATTAGCTGGTAAAAAAAAAAAAGAAAAGAACATAATCAATTTGTCGAGTTAAGGCGTCAATAGTTCCAACAATGTTGATCAATTTAATAATATATTAATATTGATTGTCTACTGAATAAGTTAAGCGTAACTTTGATAAAATTCCGTAGTTGTCAACGCTTATATTTACCTATCTCACAAAAGTATTTTTTTTATTTCTCGACTTTAGATTATTGAAATTTAATACAAGGTAAATAAAAGTTTTGAAACTAATATAGTTGCAATGAAATGGGTGACTTTGGAACCAAATGACTTTACTTAGAACAGTGCGTTTAATCTTGGATACTAATTTATAATTTGTAATCATGTTTCTTTAAATAAAAAATGTAGACATTGTCCGAAGTCTTCCCATTTTATGATAAGTGCCTATTTAAAAAAACAAGGAACAAACAAAAAGTGAGGTAAAATAATTTGTATTACTACAGTGATCTTAAATAAATAATATCTTATGAGTACTTTAATAAAAACAAATTAAAGTAATTAACCCGTAACTGATATGGTGTGATCTCGTAGACCACTTATCAGTGCAAATCTTATGACGCATTAATCACTGTACCAGTTATGGGTTAACTAAGATTTTCAGATAATTTTTAATCTTCGAGCGAGAATAAGTTCTCTAGTTTATCTAGACAAAGTTATAATGTGTAATATGTTTTTGTGATGACCTTAATATTAAAAGCAATATAATTTTGTCACATACCCGTTAGATTTATTTACTGTCTTTGATAGTTTGTTTTAATCAATTTGTATATTTTAAAGGCAGTACGTATTTTTTAAATTTATTTTTAGGTCATTAAGTACATTTATTGGTTATCAGGTGAAGATAAAAAAATTGCCTGTATTATTAGACTACTTGGATATAAAATCCTAAATTGTAACAATTTACGATTTTAATATGCATTTGTATTTTGATTAGTGACATTATTGAAATACTACCTGCTCATAATATACTTAATTAATTCTCAGCATGCTCCATGATATAATGTTGTATTTAATTTTATAAGTCTACATTGTTCATCAATAAAAAAAATTATACAGAAAATGTAAGTATATAATTTTATCATTTAATTTCTAGACATTTAAAGTTGTTAGACAAAATTAAACATTATAGTTGGAAACGCAGAAAATAATGGCGAGTTTTACGTTCTTGATCGGCAGTGAATATAATATATGTGAATGTTGCCTCTAATTTTTTCATTCTAACGACAATAGCGAAATTTTTATTATACTACATCATTTTAAATGGAATAAAATTAGTTTGAATGAAATGTCGTTGAGGCTTAAATTATGATTGGAAATAAAAATTGATTCTGTAGAATAGTTTAAAATATATAAATAAATCATAAATTAAACGTTAAAATCACCGTTGAACATTTTACGATAATAATACAGAGAAAATAACTCCTGTAAAATTATAAGTGCCTATTTACATAAACGAATACTTAACGTGTTTAAGCAGAAAAGATGAGGTAACGTTATTTACGTAACTTCTAAAAAGGCACTTTTATAGAATTAGGTTAGATTAAGTTACAATAATCTGTATGATGTTTATACATTATATTTAAATAATATAATGCATAAATATATTTAGCCGATTAAACATTTTACTGCGTGTCAAACAATACAATAAATTACTGCATGTTTTCTGTATTTTAAAAGTGTTATAAAATATAGCTAGGATTGTTGAAGTGAGTTAACATAATTACCTGTATAAATATTTTATTATTTGAAACATTTTGTGTGCTGTGGTTGAGTTGACGGCCCAGTCGTAAAACACTCTTAATTATATGGTATTTCAGATTTTACCCTTATTAATAAGCGGCATATGCATGCGCTTTTCCAGCGTTGTTTATTAACCTATTGGCGTAAGATCTAGGAAGCAAGTTGACAGTTAACAAATACACTATACAATAAGTGAGAAGTCCGTATTAGTACATTTTTGTAGTCGCCAAAAGAAACAAGCTTGACTCTTCAGATGTAATTGTAATGGCTGAATAGTATTTTGACAGTGTGGACAGAAAATCTTACTCTTTCACTATACTGAAAGAACTTAAATCTATTAAAGTCGATTAGTTATTAATATTGAAGAATTACAAATAGAAATCTGCCTGGAAATAGTTTAGTTAAGATTCTCTGTGTGACTAATTGTAATAATTTATTACAATTATTTTGTCTGTACCGCAGAGAAATTACCTAATAGTTACTTGCGGTTGAATTATTTCTTATAGATCTTATCTCAAATGTTTAACGAGTTGTTAAATGTTCATAGTTCACAAATAGTTAACATATCTGAACCGTTATTATAAATTTAGACCAAACTTGATGAGGCGAATATTAAAGCAATTGTTGACGTTTAACAGAAACACAAATTGATTCTGCGACTAAATCTATTTTATACTAGACTCTAGTAACTAGAGTATATATTCTATTAATGGTGTTAAGTATGTCGTTATTGAAAAACATTCATTTTAAAATATTGTCTGTTACATAATTATGTGTAACTCGTACAAGGTATTTTTGTGTTGCTTAAAAATAAAATATATAATTATAAAGTGCCATGTTACGTTAACGATAGGCTAAATTTAAAATGCATGATCTTTGATGTCTTAAGGTGATAAAATCATTGTCCTTGTCTTTGCCATAATGTTATTAGAATTTTCGATTCTTGTCTTTTTTTATTTATTTTGTTGTCCTTTGATCTACAAATAATTTCATCGGTGTTTGTACAGTAACTCAGCAAAACATCTCCGGGTGTTATTATTAAGAATTATAGGGAACAATCTACGTTCTGTTCATCAATTAATTTCATCAACGAAAAATAAATCTAGTATAGTAGATAAAGTATACTGCTGTATAGTGTAGATGGACAACACCCGTTTATGGATTTGACACTTAATTTTTCTGGATTTTATAATGGTTCAACACTGTGAATTACAGATATGCGAGTAAAAAGGTGTGTTGATGGTTAGGTTAGGTATTATACATAAGCATTTAACGGTGTCTATCTGAAGTATACTTAATCTATGCTAGTATGTGGTCTGGGAGGAACAAAAAAGGCGGAGAAGGGTGTAAAATTCGCCCTACCCCTTTTTCAGACATTTTATTGAATTGGCAAAGTTAAGTAAAAAATCTGATTTGTCTACAGAGTAAAAAAAATGAAAAGTACTACCTTAATTTTATCTGCTGTTATGTTATGTATCAAAGATATAAGATATCACACTCAAACGTCGGTTATCAATTATAACTACTACCTATTATTTTTTCATCTAAATGCTATATTTAAAAACGAAATCGAGATTGATTGTTACAATTTATGTTGTAACTAGGACGTGTGTGTAGTTTCTTGTTTCAAACTAGCTAAGAAAAAAGTTATGCACCGGTCGCCTCTCCTAATTACTATTTCTAGTATTGTTTCATTATGTATTTATTTTTATTTGCAAAGAACCTGGCTAGGTTGACAGGGTTTTGCGTAATAGGTATAGAAAATGATAGGGGGAGACTTAGTGCCTCAGCTACAATATTGGCTGAATTTTGAATCGATATTTGACTTGTACATATTTTACAATTTGCGATCTAGTTGTTTTCAACGCGGGAAGTCATTTTTAGAAAAAAATACACGAGAAACGGTTATTTTAGATTAGGTAAAAACTCGGTAGAAAGCTCCAATCAACTGACCAGAAACCAGAAGAAAAAAGCGACGGGAACATTATTAAATATAAGAAATGAACTTCAGATAGGGGTAGGGAAAAGTGTTGGCCGCAAAGGCTCTTAAAGAACCAAGGGAGAAAAGAGGAAGGTTTACTTATTTTGACACTTGAATATATAATGTAAATTTATCAAGTTAGGTACTTTTAGTAAAAATGATTATCAACCGTGTTGTAGGCAAGGACAA